CATGAACAATTCACAAAAAAGTAAATATACATAGTCCTTCAACATATGAACAGATGCTCAACCTCCCTGGTGATAAGATAATGAAAATTTAAAACTGTATCATTTCCCCATCAAATTTTTAAAAATCCAAAACTTTGGTAAACAATAGCAACAAAAGTTTGACAACATAAGTTTTTTTGAAATATTTGGGGGGAACACTGCCTTGGTGAGAATGCAAATGCTGATTCTTTTGGAGGAGAATTTGATAACACTGCCTTGGTGAGAATGCAAATGCTGATTCTTTTGGAGGAGAATTTGATAATATCTAGCAATATTACATAGAATTGACTATACACGATTATTCATTATACTGTTATTTGTAATGATAAAAGACTGGGAATAACCCAAATGTCCATTTATCAGCAAATGAATACCATAAAGTGTTTTAGCCAACAATGTAGGTACTACTACTACTACTACTACTACTAAGTTCCAGGACGTTCAGTTAAATGAAAATACAAAAACAAAAAGGAAAAAGCATGAAGCACAGCATTTTATGTAACAAATGAATGTTTTGTTTAACAAATATACATGTCTATGAAAGTTTTAAACAATGGCCACAGGTAGGATGAAATCATTCATCCCAGGTTCCTTGAGCCAATTCAGGTCAATTCAGGTTCAGGTTTATCCTACTGTCTTTGTTTAACTCTCAAAAATATTCTAGTTTGGATAATAAGTTTTGTGGTCACCTTATCTATAGTTGAGGGAAGGAACAGAGTGGAGGTGACAGATGGATATGAGTTGTTTTACCACTGTTATATACATTTGTCTAATTATATAAATATTTTACATAATCAAAAGAAAAATAAATAAAAAAGGAAATAAACAATCTCTAAAAACTGGAAAAAAAAAACCCTAAATAAATGAACCTAATTTTATGTCAAGTTGGTCACATAGTCACTCACGGAAAATACTCCAACTGACTATGGAAGATCGTATTTGGGCTTACATCTTTAGTTCATATTCAAGGACAAAGAAATCTTAACCATTACTTAATAGTTTCACTGAGGTATTACAAATAACGCATATAAGTAAGTGTATTAATGTTGTTAGAAACCAAAAATTTCAGCATGAGAGAGTTACAGATGTAAAATCAAAAGGAGTAAAGACCTTGTCATCTTAAATTTGAATTGGCAGTATTACTACAGACTCAAAAAGTTTTTTCCCTTGTAGCTATTTATTAGCTCTGCCCACTAAAAAGGGCTAAAAGAAAGTTAGTAGGAGCAACAAGTAGTCCTAATGGCAAGACTGTGGTCTCTACCTACCATTTTCTTCTAATAGGAACCAAAGTCCCCTGAGGAAATGGCTAATTACATATGTAAGATATATAAGATGAGCCTTGGACAGCCTATCTAAAGCTAACAAGGAGGACAGAGGTCATGTCAAAAGGACTCAAGCACCAAGTTGATGAGGTTCCTACTAACCAAAGATGAGACAATTTGAGTAAAAAGAACAATGACAGCAACTGATTAAAATACTAAACATATGTAAAAAACCATGAGTTTACAATGACACTTAAAATACCACCCACCCACACCCACACCCACACCCAAACTACCAAAAAGCAAAGTGAAAATGTATTGAACACTACTGGAATTTGCTAGGGCATGAAGTCAATACTCTGAAAATGAACAAAGAGAATTAAGTATCTTACTTTTTGTTTAAATATCCTTTATTTCAGGGTAACCAAAGGGCTCTAGGAGATAGAAAAATGTCCTTCTATACAGAATAATTCCAGCTAATAAATGAAGAAGGAAAGATAATAGATCATTATTTAATGAAATTGATAACGGCAAAGGTCATCAATGAAGGGTGAAACTATAACGTGATGGGAACTTACCATGAAAGGATCAGACTGGAGTATAACCAATTATGGTGTATAATTTACCACTGTACCCCACCTCCCCAAAACTGAATTAGAATCTAATCAGTCTTTAGATCTAATCTCCAATCTATAGGAAATAGGACAAAATAACAAGTTAAATATGGGAAGCAATTAGCCAAATCCAGAATGTGATATATTTTCCATCATTATTCACTAGTTTCTTTAACAAGTCCATAGAATTTTAAAAGGTGGTGAGGGAAGGAAGAATTGTTAAGCGTTTTAGGTATGGTGATGACACTGTATTGTGTAAGAAAATTTACCTTTTTTTTCTTGAGATGTACAGCAAGGGACTTTGGAGATGTAGTGAAATTATAATACTCCAAAAAAAGAAAGCGGGGGGGGGGGGATGGAGATACACAGTTGAATGAATGGATGAATCAAGTATGGCTGTTGAAGCCAGGGAGTAGGTACATAGCAGTTCCTTGTACTCTCTCTTTTTGTGTACATTTGGAAAGGTAAAAACAAAACAAACACTAAAACAAATCCAAAAAAGCTGCAGGTAAGGATCTAGCATCCCAAAACTACAGGATTTGAGAAATATGTTCAACAGCAAGGATAAAAATGAGCTACGGTGGCTACTCTTACCTTAAGAGAAAATCAGAAAAGGGAAACAGATTCTCTTAGGAAAGTTGCTGGAGGAGCCTGCTAGACAAGGTTATGTGCTCAAAATCCATGGGACGGGACGGGACGGGACGGGACGGGACGGGAAGGGAAGGGAAGGGAAGGGAAGGGAAGGGAAGGGAAGGGAAGGGAAGGGAAGGCTGTGCTCTAATTTAGGTCCTCCCAGAGGCTTGTGCCCCATCCTTGAAAAGTATGGGGAGTGGTTTTCAACTTAGAAGGGAGGAGCAGCCACATATTTGCAGAGGACATCACAAGAGCCTAGTGTGGAAGAGAACTGCTTATAAGAAAAAGAATACTGCTTTACAAAAACAAAACAAAACAAAACAAAAACAAAGCAAAACCTGGAAGATGGAAATTTTATCCTAGAGAGGAGAAAGATTAACTGAATTTTAAATGAGAGATAAAGTTACAATATGAACTTACTTGAAGTTTAAAACTAGTGATTAGGGCAGCCCCGGTGGTGCAGTGGTTTAGCGCCTCCTGCAGCCTGGGGTGTGATCCTGGAGACCTGGGATCGAGTCCCACATCAGGCTCCCTGCATGGAGCCTGCTTCTCCCTCTGCCTGTGTCTCTGCCCCCCTCTCTCTGTCTCTATGAATAAATAAAATCTTTAAAAAAACAAAACTAGTGATTAAATCCTTATAGGTAAATAATATATGTATTTTTATTTATTTATTCATGAGAGAGACAGAGATATAGGTAGAGGGAAAAGCAGTCTCTCTATGGGGAGCCTGATACAGGAGTTGATCCCAGGACCCCAGGATCATGACCTGAGCCAAAGGCTGAGACTCACCACTGAGCCACCCAGGTGCCCTATATTTTTAAATATGAACTAGCCTAGAAGCTCACCAGTTGCTTCTAGAATTGTAGAGGTATGACTGAGTTTAAGTGTTCTTTTTCAGCAGAATTATAGAACTATTTTCCTAGAAGAGGAGGCTGAATGGGGGTACCTGGCTGGCTCAGTCTGTGAAGCATGTGACTTTTGATCTCTAGGTTGTGAGTTTGAGCCCCATATTGCATATGGACATTTAAAGAAATAAATCTTTTGAAAAAAATAAGCTGAATGGCACTGTTTCCATTGTGTGATGAGCAAAACATAACACACACACACACAAACTCACACATTCACACACACATTCACATTCACACACACATTATTTTAGGCAATGCTAAAAGTATATTTGTATATTTGGCATCCATGTTAAATTAAATGCTTATTCAGGGGTTAAAGGACTTGTTTTCTCATTTTTACTTTCATTGTACATATTAAATAAACTTATATTTAATGTTCTAAAATAATTAAAACCTTCTTTTCTTTTTTTCCATTAATAAAACTTAAAAAATGCCCATCAAGAGGAGATCCCTGGGTGGCTGAGCGGTTCAGCGCCTGCCTGTGGCCCAGGGCATGATCCTGGAGACCCAGGATCGAGTCCCGCGTTGGGATCCTGGCATGGAGCCTGCTTTTCCCTCTGCTTCTCTCTCTCTCTGTCTATCATGAATGAATAAATAAAATCTTAAAAAAAAAAAAAAGAAATCGAGATGGAAGCTCAACCAAATGAGCCACTCTCAGGTGCCCCCCCCCCTTTTTATTTAATACATCTCGGGCACTATTCCTCAGAAAGCCTTTAAAAATAGCTTTTAGTTTCTAAAAGAAAGAAAGAAAAGAAAAGAAAAGAAAGAAAAGAAAAGAAAAGAAAAGAAAAGAAAAGAAAAGAAAGAAAAGAAAAAGAAAGAAAGAGAAAGAAAGAAAGAATGAAAAGAAAAAGAAAAGAAAAGAAAGAAAAGAAAAAAGAAAAGAAAGAGAAAAAGGCTTTTGGTTTCTCAAGGATCTTTAGTGAAATCTTTTCATTTTTTAACTTATTTTTAGAGGCAGGGAGGGGCAGAGAGGGGGAGAGAAAGAGAGAGAGAGAATCCCAAGCAGGCCCCATGCCCAGTGCAGAGCCCAACAAGGGCTCAATCTCACCACCCGAAGACCAAGACTTAAGGCAAAATCAAGAGTCAGGTGCTTAACTGATTGAGTCACCCAAGCACCCCATAGTGAAGTTTTATATAGAAGAAAGATAACCTATTTTTAATATAATTATAGATTATTTTCATAGTATTTTATAGTATTTATTTTTATTTTATTTATATTTATTTTAGAGTATTTATTCTTATTAAAAATTCAACAGTATGAGATATTAAAAATAAAAAGTAAAAAAATTCCCATTGTTCTTCCATTCCTCCTTCCATGAGTAAGTACTTTGAATTTCCTTGCAGACCTTTCTCTATAAAAATAAAAATGTGCATATATATAAATACCATTCAATACAAGCAAATGCAATCATGTTCTATAATACCTACTACATCTTATACCCACACTACTCTATACAAATAAGATACACATATATTCTTTAAAGTCTCTTAAAGACAAAGATTCTGTGATAAATATTAAGCTTTACTGCATGTCAACTTACCAACACAATCACAGCACTCATCCCAAAGGGTCCCAAGACACAACATACATTCCTTGCAGCAGGAACAGTTTCCTTCTCCAGGTCGGCACTGGCAGAGCTCCTACAAATAAGATAATTAAATTTCAAAATCTGAAACTCTATTTAAAATTGTTAGTTTTTTGCAGCAAAACCCCCACATTTGCATTTATAGTAATCTACCCTTCACATAATTTTTTTTAAAGATCATTAACTGTTTGTAGGAACATAAATATCTACAACATCAAGTAGTTTTATATTTTCTTTTTAAAAAATATTTATTTGTTTATTTGTTTATTTATTTATTTGAGAGAGAGACAGAGAGAGAGAGAGTGTGCAAGACAAGCACAAGTAGAGGAGAGGGAGAAGCAGACTCCCCATCGTGCAGGGAGCCTGATAAGACTTGATCCCAGTATCACAACCTGAGCTGAGGGCAGATGCTTAACCAATGAATTACCTGGGCACCCCAGATTTTTTTCTTTTGGATGCATTCAGTGATCTATTTGGATGCTCTTATCTTGAAGATGCTCTTATCTCTTATTTTGAAATAGAGAAAACCTTTTACTTTATAACCCATAACTTTACCCCCTATACTGCCTTGAAAAATCATTCAGTAGGAGTATAAAACATGCTTTTCAGCTATTAGTCATTGTTCAAATTAAATGAAGAGCCAGTTTGTAGTGGGAGCTGTGGTTTCTCATTATGTGGAGTATGAATAAAAGCATCTTTCAAAAACTGCTATTTTTATTGGCCTACAACATATTAAAGCAGTGTGTTTAGTGTGGTAGACTATTTAAAAGAAGACAGCAATTATTCCCTCCCTGTGTCCACCCACCCTTTTTGCAATGAAACTTTGCAGCTCTTCTGATCAGGAGGACAGTATTTATTTTCAGACTAGCTTTAATCAGCAGAATTTGGTGAAAGTGACATGTCAGTTCTGAGTCTGGGTCTCCATAGCACTGAGTGCTTTTCCTCTTCCTCTCAGAACCTACCTCTCCTAACATGCTTTGAACCTAAGTATTGGAAATACAAAAGGGAAAAAAAACCCAACTCAGTAAGTAACTCTGTGATGGGCAGGTTGGTCCATTTGAAGCACCCTATCTCATCCAGCCTCCAACCAACCAGCAGCTGACAACAGACACAGAATGAGCCCAGAAAAACCATACAGTTGATAAAGGCCCAGACTGCCAACTCACAGAAGAGCTAAATAAAGGGTTATTGTTAAGCCACTAAATTTTGCTTCCTAAATGAGGCTTTAAGGTAATTCCTTTAGTCCTTGCCACCAGGCAGCCACTCCTAAACAAAGCTAACTTGAAGGGAAATTCTGTAGCCACCATTTCCTACTCAGCTTTCCATTATCCTACTCAGATACCATATACATTTTTTTAAAACAAACATAGCACATAATATTTATCCCTATTAAGTTTATCTTATTACATTTCTAGACTACTGAAGTCATTCCATCATTCTAGTATGACATGATTTTTTGCAACACTGATATTTAATTCCTTGTTTCTTCTCCAAAAGTCCCTTAGCTATTTCATAGCACTTTCAAGAATCTACATTTGCACTATTTTCTAAGTAGTTCATTAGTTTCATGTCAGCGCATACTTGTAGCCTGATGATACATGCAAGCAGCAATACTTTATTACTTTATTAATGCCTTATTAAAATAACAAAAAACCAGGCTAAGACCCTCCCTCCCTCCCTCCCCTCTCTCCTTCCTTCCTTCCTTCCTTCCTTCCTTCCTTCCTTCCTTCCTTCCTTCCTTCCTTCCTTCCTTCCTTCCTTCTTTCTTAGTATTAAAACTTCAGAACTGTCCAGTCAGGCTGAATTCATGTACTGCAGACCTTAGGTAACTTTGCTAGGTCTCTTACAGAGAGACTAAAAGGGCAGGAACTTGCTAAGAAGTACAGGTGCTTCATCATAAAACTGGTGATGCTTGATTCAGACAAACTCAAGCTTACTTGGAAACCTAGAAAAATCACAGTTGCCAAAGATATACTTTGTGACTTGTTTCTCCATAAAAATCTGTCTATCCTGTCTTTGGAATGAGAGAACGTTTCCTGAGTATACATCTTTTAAGAACACCATCAGAGTTAAGGATATTGATATTTATTGTTTTTTAGTTTTAGATAGGCTACCACTTAGTCACAAGAAATAAAGCTTCTTTTAAATTTTAATTTACATTATACATAGAAAATATCCCTTTACTCTCTTAGTTGCTTGAATTTCATTATCTATTTAGCTCAGAAGAAGCAAATTAGAAAGTAACAAATTTACTCAAAGAATATATTTCTCCTTTTTCTAAACAAATGCTTATTAAATGAATTACTGTATATCATACTAAATAATTTGAAAATGAATGTCAACGTAATGGCTTCCTGTCTGAGTCATTAAAGCATTCATTATGTCTTTTTACCGACATGAATCTGTAAGGTGTTTTAAATTGGAATGAAAGGGTGGTGATACCTTAAGATTACTGAGAACTAATGGAAGGTTAAAACTAAGACTATTTAAAGCTGCTTCAACTTGCCTGGATCACGTAGCCCTCAAGATTAAATCTATTTCACACCCTCTTAATAGATGCCTATACTTTTACATGCCAGTATGATGGAATAATATACTCTAGTAATATGCTTAATGATTCATAATATACTGATAGGATATAAAAGGAAAGGTTATAGGAAGCCAAAATAACTTACTGAGGGAAATAACTTGAAGGTAAGTTTTATTACTGCCTTATTAAAATAACAAAATAAAAAACAAAATAAAAATAAAATAACAAAAAACCAGGCTAAGACTCTTTTTTTTTTTTAAGATTTTATTTATTTATCCATGAGAGACAGAGAGAGAGAAAGAGAGGCAGAGACATAGGCAGAGGGAGAAGCAGGCTCCTTGCAGGGAGCCTGATATGGACTGGACCCTGCCGCTCCAGGATCAGACCCTGGGCTGAAGGTGGAACTAAACACTGAGCCACCTGGGCTGCCCCAGGCTAAGTCTTTCTTGATAAAAATTACTGTGCTACCTGGTTGAATACTAAGTAACAATAAGCCAACTAGTACTTTTCTTTCTTTCCATCTTACTAAAGAATGAAAAATCTTTGTCTTAATAAAATAATCTCATAAATTAAAACATTTACAGAGTAAATAAACCTAAAAATATATCAAATAATCTCTATTCTTCATAGCTCATGTCAATATTTTTTTTAAAGATTTTATTTACTTCTTCATGAGAGACAGAGAGATAGAGAGAGAGGCAGAGACACAGGCAGAGGGAGAAGCAGGCTCCATGCAGGGAGCCTGACGTGGGACTCGATCCCAGGACTCCAGGACCATGCCCCAGGCCAAAGGCAGGCACTAAACCGCTGAGCCACCCAGGGATCCCCATCATGTCAGTATTCTTTTCAGGAGATTCAAAAATAAGAAAATGAGATCCTCAAACCAACCTTTTAGTCAGGATTTATGCCTTTTCAATTTTCAAACCCACATTTAACTTCTCATTTTCTAGAAGAAAATTCCAGTAAATTTAATATATGGTAGTTAGGATCTCAAAAACCTCACTGCAGATCAGGAGAGCAAAAATATATAGAAACTCTTTGCACTATGACTATGGTTAAGTCAAGAAAAAAATTGAAAGCAATGAATTTCCATGTGTAAATAAGATGAATAACAACCATGTGTGGCTCACCAAATTCATTCTTTTCTATTCACTTTACATGTCTTTCAAAATCACATTATTGAATGTTCGGTCATAAAGATCTTTGGAAATGTACACTATAATTTTCTTGACAGCAAGAAAACTATGGTTATAATGAATGTTTCTAAATATAAAAAACACTTCTAACATGCTTTGAACCTAAGTATTGGAAATACAAAAGGAAAAAACCCCAACTCAGTAAGTAACTCTGTGATTATAAAGGATCACAAAAAAACAGTAATAATTATTCCATTTAAATTAAGCAGAGGAGGGCAGCCCCAGTGGTGCAGCGGTTTAGCGCTGCCTGCAGCCTGGGGTGTGATCCTAGAGACCCGGGATCGAGTCCCACGTCGGGCTCCCTGCATGGAGCCTGCTTCTCCCTCTGCCTGTGTCTCTGCCTCTCTCTCTCTCTGCCTCTGAATAAATAAAAAATTAAAAAAATAAAAATAAAATAAATTAAGCAGAGGAGTGCCTGGGTAGCTCAGTTGGTTAAGTCCTCAACTCTTGATTCTGGCTCAGACCCTGATCTCAGGGTGGTGAGATGGAGCTCTGCACTGAGCTACTCACTCAGCAGGGGGTCTGCTTCTCCCTCTCTCCCTCTCTAGAAAATAAATAAATTTTAAGAAAATAAATAAATTAAGCAGTCTTCTTCACTTAAAAAGAAGTCTTTATCTTTAATGGTTTTAGTTATGAAGACTTAAATGAATCTTCAGTAACCAGAAAGTCTTTCCTAAAGAGGTTATAGTCAAGGGATACTTAAAAAAAAAAAAGTATTTTTTAATTATGAAAGACTCAAAAATATATACTAGAATCAAAGGAATAACACCCCAAATTCCACCCACTTTGGTAAGCTCCTACACATTTTTAACAAAATAATGATTGTATACTCTCCCAATCTAAAAAAAAAAAAAAAAAAAGCATTTCCCTATTAGTAGAATCTGTCAACATAATTTAATTTAATAACTGCAAAATAGTATATTCTATTCAAATAGTATATTCAAAATTCAGAAATAGACCTTAAATCCTGATCCCTTCCACATCTTGTTCACTTTTTTTTTCTTTTTTTAAATCTTGGGGTTTTTTTTAATGGCCACCATCGGGATGCACTGGCACTGCTCTGCCACCTGCAGTGGCTTCAGAAACATGTGGCAGCACAGACGGGTGGCAGAATGGCATTGAGGCATGCTGCAAGGTGTTGTGGGTCTGGCTTATTAGACCCTGACACCATGCATGGATGACCCCACGTGGAGGTTGAGGAGGTCAAGCTATTGCTGTAGAAAATGCTCCCAGACACAAGGCAGATACAGACACAGATAAATGTGGTTGGACCCCTTTACTTTCTGGGTGTCCCACTTTCTTATTCTTTATCAAAAATTTTATCATCAT